CCTGTACTGTCCGTTCTTCTTAATTTGGCTAGCTCCTCCGCCTTCGTAGGTCTGCCTCTCGCTTTCTTCTCGCCTTCGCCTTCCCCTTTCTTTCCTTTATCCCCCTGTTGAACACTTTCTGATTCTATTTCCTTCTCTTTATCCATCCGCTGTACTTGATTTGCCTATCCCTCTTTTTTGTTTTGTATCCTATGGCTGCGTGCACGTCCTACTATCCCTTCTATATCCGAGCTTCCCTTCTATGTCTGCGCTAGTCTATGCCCACTTTCGCGCCTCTTTCTTACGTACTGTCGCCCCTCTATATTACTTACCGTCTATGCCTCAACTGTCACTTCGTTCCAGCCACTTTTTTCACTTTTCACCTTTTAACCGATTTCGCCTCCTTTTAACTTTTTCACCTCCGCCGTCTCACATCTCCATCCCTTGCTGTCCCGCTACTCTCGCTCTCCCCTACCCTTTCTGTAACGCACTTTTCTACCACTTTATCTCTGCTATGTTCAAACCTGTCACCTTCTATGTTCCGGAACCGGAAGTCCAGATTGCTATATAAAATAAATTTATACTTTTAATACAATAAAAAAAATTAGTGTATATGAATTTTGTCCATTAAGCTATATATAACTTTTATTACAGTTTTTATAAACTATATATATCTAAGCAATACCTAGTCTACAGTATCTAGATTTACAAAATCTAGGCTTAATATTCTAATTAAAGCTATTGTAATTAATATTGTAGTTTTCGTTATGCTCGTATTTATGGTGTCAATCTTAATATTACTGCGCTACTCGCATCACCAGATCTTTGTCTTTATCGTTGATACAAATGCTATTGTAATAATATTGTAATTAATATTGTGATTAACAGCTTCTATATATATTAATCACCAAATATAAGATTATTATTTTTATGATATATATAATAAGTTAGATTCTCACGTTTAGTTTTACTTTTTCATAATATGGCATCTAATAAAGAAGCAGATTATTTTAATAAGTCGTGTGAGCTTCTTGGAGTTAAAAAATTACGATTGGAGTTGGCTGCGAAACATACAAGTATTATTCCTCCTGAAGATCCTATTCTTGTCGAAGTTAAAAAGTATTTACATATCTCAGAATCTATTATCGAAGATCCTCTACAATGGTAGAATAAAATAAAGTTGTCACTGCCGAATTTGTACAAATTGGTATGCTGCATTTATGCCATACCGATTACAACTTCAGCATCTGAACGCGCATTTTTTTCTGCAGGTTTGCTTATCACAGCAAAACGTTCTTCGTTAAAATAATCAAAATCTAATAAAATATTATTTATTCTCGATAAATTATTTCAAATTAATAAAAGATATGTATTTAAAGTCAGTAAAATAAGTTTTACATTAAGTATAAGTTATATTATTCATATTATTTATAAAACTTAATATGTGAAGAAATGTTTAATAAGTAAGAGAGAAAGAAGTCTGATATCTGATGGTTATACAGTAAATTACATTTTATTTTTGTATGATGATCAGGAATAACATTTTAAGATAAATTTTATTTTCTTTTGTGAAAGAAAAGATATTAGTAATGCTAATAAAGTGATCGTATTTTGAAAACAAGTGCTGAGTATTTATTGTTTGCTATTTTTGTTCATATTATTTATGAAAAGTTAAAATTGAACTTTATTTTAAGTCAGGAGGATTTAAAAAAATGTATTAACGCCGCCGTTCGCCGTCGCCACCGATAAATTATCACCCGCCAATTCCGCTGCCGCTGAAAGAGAAAATTATCGGCGAACTTTGCCGCCGCCAAACTATTTTGCTTCAAACGCCGCAATTTACTACCATTCACTATTGCGCTGTTCATAGAGCCTGTAAACGCTAACGCTATTAATGCACTACCTCGGAAGGAAGAGCGTTGGTAGCGAGCAGTTATGACGTATAATACTAACACGACGTATAATACTATCACTAACAGTAATGACGTCACGACAGCGTTTAGTAGCGCTATCATAGAGCTCCGCGAACAGCCAGTAGTGCTAGGTAGCGCTAATAGCGTCTCCCCGAACGCACCCGTATATTGTGCACCAAAGTAGTGTCTTTCAGACGAGTGTAAGGCGAGGGCGGCAAATCACACGAGTCTGAAAAAGCTTTCGATCCGAGGTGCACACGATATTTTTCACAACACATTTATAGAAATGTTCGACTTCCATGCCTAGAGAGGGGCGAGAGTGGCCAATTTCACGCTAAGGCTTACTTTTCTCCCTAGGGAAGAAAGTAAGCCCTGGCGTGAAATTGGCCACTTTCACCTCTCTCTACAGGCATGGAAAGTCGAACTTTCCATGGAGGTGTTGTGAGAAAAGCATTTTCATCAATTTGCCTTATATCTAAAATACAAAACACAATCACAGAAATGTAAGTTATTTCGTACATTGTGAGCTTACAGATGATGGATAAACAAAAGTGAAAAAATGATTAATTTTATTATTATTTAATAGCTAGATTATATTAAAAATTTGTGTTGAAGTTATTTGAAAACTTACATAAATAATTACCAAGTCGAATAAGAATTATTAGAGACTTTATAATTTTTACTTTAATTAATAAGAATTATTTATTGGTTATACAGGGTGTAACAAAGAGGTCGGGATTATCGCTGAAAGATGACGTTTTCGGAAAAAATGTTTTATAGAAAAGTTGTAGGGTACCAAGTTATCCATTATGTGGTGATTGGTTTGACCTTAAACGATCTTGGGAAAGTCATATCAAGGTCACATTGAGTTCTTTAAACTGGGACTCCTATTTTTTATGTCATATTCTTGTAACCCTTGTAACGCACACATGCACAATATCACTACATAATGGACAACTTGGTACCCTACAACTTTTGTACAAAACATTTCTTCCGAAAACGTCATCTTTCTGAGATAATCCAATGTCCCGATCTTTTTGTTACACTAGACACTACAGACGCGCGCTACGCGCGCGCTATTTATCTTTAACATTTCACTATTAACCCTATTATACACAACTGTCAAAATATACAATGACAGCTGCAAATGAAGTAAGCGCAGCAAGAAAACCAATCGGCATCGCGGAAAAGCGACAACAATAAACTTCACATCTCCTTTTTAGAAAAAGACTCTTTGGCTACGGTCAACGTGACGCTACAAATGCTTCGAAGCATTTCTCTTCTCTTTTCTTTCAATAAAGAGAAAAAGAGAAGAAGAACGCTTCAAAGCATTTGTAGCGTCACGTTGACCGTTGCCTTTATGCAAATGTCGGATCGTCCGATAGATGGCATCCGATGAGATCCGTTTCTCGTATTTAAAATATGACAAACGATGGTATAAAAACGGTATATAAATCAAGTGTACGGTACAACTTATTGAATATCAGTTGTATCGGAGTCCACGCTTATAATAAAGTGGCACACAATTTTGAATTAAATTGATATATTTATGGTTTTATAGCATTTTATATCCCTTTATGATTTTTTATTATATCTGAGCAGATCTCGGTAAATAATTATATCTCGGCAGATCAAATTATATCTGGTCAGATCTGGCCAGATAGAGACAATTTACAGATCAAATTATATCTGGCCAGATCTGATAAACCAGATCTGGTCATATCTCAATAGATTTAATTTTTTTTCTCGGGCAGAGTACAGAATCTGTACCTCATTGGCATCTCTTGTCAAATTCCCAAGATTTACACGCAAAATACGCAACAAATTAATCATTTTTATTCATTTCTTTGGGGAGAAAGATTTTTCACTTACTTGGGACGAGATCACCGAAACCTATGGTGGTCATGGTTACAAAACAGAAGTAAAATCCATCGAAAAAATCCCAATCGTCCTCCCACAACATAAACATACCAGCGCCGCAGGCGAGATATAGAAAGAGCAGCACGATGGCGGCGCAGGCACCTGTAAAGGAGATTATCAGATCCAGAAATCAACTAAATCAATTAAATTTATTAAACTCACCAAGCGACCGTCGACCGGTTGCATTCGTCGGGATACACGGAAGCTTTGCACGAAACGGAAGTTTTGACTTCATCGTCAACACAATGTGCACCACTGCACTCGCGAATAGCTTTCCCCAGTCGGCGATCACTATCAGAGTAAGAGGTATACCGATGAAAGCGAAGAGAATGCAAAAGATTCTTCCCCAGTTGGTCGAGGGCACAACATTGCCATATCCTATTAAATGCAAATTTTCATCGAGTGAACTAAAAAACTTATTGCATAGAAAGTTTCCAACTTTGGAGATATAGAGAGATATTGGAGATATTAGATATAAAATAATTTTTTTGGAGATAGAAAATCGATTTCACATAATCGACAAATTCTTTGATAATGATTAAGATATCAATTACTCTTGACTAATAATTAGTACCGATTGTCGTGAGGACGGTGCTGGCGAAGAAAATCGCTTGGAGAACGTTCCACCTCTCCGTCACGACGGGTGGCAATTCCGATTTGTTGCAATCATCTTGATCAATGATATCCGTCACGAAGCTGATCAGGAGACCCGCCTCCGCCGCTTCCTGAACCACTTCTTCATAATCGCGCAATTTTACGCTTACCTGGAAGACGCCGAGTGTCATGGATGAGTGTCACGGTGATGAGTGGAAATTACTCACGTTTCGATGTTGCTAATTTCTCACCAAAGTATGCAGATTGAACACGTCCGTATTGTTCGAAACTGACTCCACAAAATGATACCGTTGCGCACGTAATTTCGCGCGCAAACGCTCCAGGCGTTTGAGTTCTGCTGGCAGTTCAATCTGTCGAAAAATCTGGAAACGCATTCAGAGTTAAAAATTTTGCGAAACAATTTTAAATTAATTAGAGAGAAAAATTCCATTTACGGTCCTTGGTGGCTTAATTATAATAATAATAATAATGACAATGACAATGACAATGATGACAACGTTGATAGTGACAATATATAATATTCAAATGCTAGCAGAATTATACCTTCAATCTCATGCCAGCAGATTCTTGTCCACTGCGTTCTCATTAAGCTTAATTATTTTCTAGCAGCACGATTGGCTGCCACAATATATGTATATGTAATCGCAGAAACACAGCAGAAACCGTGCACAATCAACATGCCGTTTCAATCTGCTATCATCATGATGTCAGATTCTGTTAGATTTCTGTTTCATTTTTATGCATATATCTGGCATGGGAGATCATGCTTTGCTATGCCAAAATTATGCCAGCATGGCATGCGGCATACAGTTTGAAAAGCCTACTTTTAGCAATGTGGCTATATATCTAGGTTATAAGGAAAAGTTACTCAGGGTCATGTCTTTGACAACATATGTCAAGGTCAAAGTCATTGACGTAATGTCTCCTAAAGTAAATAATTAATGAATTTTTATTGTCATAAACATATTATGAAAAAATATTATTTAATATGATTAAATAAAATATTTTATTTTCTTATGGCGCACTTTTTACTTTACATTGGATACATAGTAAAGCTTTAATATTTTATAATAGCAATATCGTGTCAACCACATAACAATCGAAGTTACTGGATGGATCGATAAATTTTTTAAACCGTACGGAGGTTTATTGCTCTCGAGTCTCGAATCGAGTGCTATTTCAGGATAACTCACCGATGCATATTTATTGAGCAAATGCACATCCATCTGCACTGTTTACAAGGATCACGCTGTCGTTCATGCTGATTTTTACTGATGTTACGTTCTGTGGACTTCGCGATTTCATTCTTTCATAAAAGCCTTTCGTAAGATGTTTTCCCACAGAATTATTTTTGGGATGACGAGAACCGAATAATAATGTCGATCGGCGGGCAGGTTACTGATAATAATTGTGAAACCTGCGCCATCGGTCAATAGCCGGTCGGGCCGTCATATACATTTCCAGGGAAAATTCATGAAAAACACTTGACGCTAGACAATAACAGATAAAGACGAGACAATAGAGATTTCGAAATCTAGCGTCTCGATCCGTGAGAAATTGTGAAATCTGCGCCGTCGGTCAATGGCCGGTCGGGCCGTCATATACACTTCCAAGGAAAATTCGTGAAAAACACTTCACGCTAGACGATAACAGATTAAGGCAAGACAATAGAAATTTCGAAATCTCGCATCTCGATACATGAGAAAAACATGTTTTTCAATCGATGACTAACAAGAGTCATCATCGGAAAAACAGGTCACTCACCAAAAAATTTGAGACATATTTCTCGATAACCCATCCCTAAAAATCTATCTATATATATAAGTACCGGACGTCTATCTGTCTGTCTGACCGCGAACTACTCATTCGTTAGTGGACCGAATTTTTATCAAGGGTACATGAAATAGGGGTAGAATTTCCCGGGGAGTGCCATAAAGTGTATAGTTTTTCGTTACCGATTTTCTGGAAACCGATTTTTCTAATTCTTCTAATTTTTCGGGAAATAATTGACCGAATTTAAAAGAATTATATATGAAACAGAGGTAAAATTTTCCGGGGAGTGCTATAAAGTGTATAATTTTTTGTTACCGATTTTTTTGGAAACCGGTTACAAAATTTTTCCAATTTTTCGGAAATTAATTGACCAAATCTTAAAAAATTATATAAAGTAGGGGTAGAATTTCCCGGAGATTGCCATAAAATATATAATTTTTTGTTACCGATCTTTGGGGAAATCGGTATCAGAAAATTTTCCAATTTTTCGGAAATTATTTGACCGAATTTTAAACAATTGTATATGAAGTAGAAGTAGAATTTTCTGGGGAGTGCTATAAAGTGTATTATTTTTTGTTACCGATCTTTTTGGAAACCGGTTACAAAATTTTTCCAATTTCTTGGGAAATAATTGAATCTTAAAGAATTACATATGAAATAAAGATAGAATTTCCCCAGGATTGCTATGAAGTGTATAGTTTTTTGTTACCGATTTTCTGGAAACCGGTTTTTCTAATTTTTTTTAATTTTTGGAAAATAATTGACCGAACCTCAAAGAATTGTATATGAAACAGGGGTAGAATTTTCCGGGAAATGTTATAAAGTGTATAATTTTTTGTTACCGATTTTTTTGGAAGCCGGTATCAGAAATTTTTCAAATTTTTCGGGAATTAATTGACCGAATCGCAAAAAATTATATATGAAGTAGGGGTAGAATTTCGCGGGGAGTGCTATAAACTGTATAGTTTTTCGTTACCGATCTTTTTAGAAATCGGTATCTTTTTGGAAATTGGTTACGAAATTTTCCAGAGCGGGAGAGAAAGAGAGAGAGAGAGAGAGAGAGAGAGAGAGAGAGAGAGAG